TGTTCCTCGCTGCGACGTGCGCTCGAGGAGAGAGAAAGAGAGAGAGAGAGAGAGAGAGAGAGAGAGAGAGAAAGAGAGCGGGCGATGTCTCTAGTTAGCACCAAAATCGGCCTCGAGATCGGCGGGCCGACAAATCAAACAATAGAGCAATAAAAATTCACCTCGTTCGATCTAGAGCATAGTTTCTCGATGAGAATTGTATATTCAAATTGACGCGATATGCGATCTTTCGAGGCGAGTCGAGGCGGACGAAGTCGGGCGAAGTCTCGCGACGAAGTCCACCTCGTCACTCGCGCGACGTGATCCCGATTCTCCAAGCGGAAATCGGTCGCTTTCGCGTTGACGGGAATTCCGACGCGCGGCGGTTCCTCGCGAAGCGCGCGCGTGACCCTCGTCGAGACGCGGCACTGCGCGAAGCTCCTCACCTACGTGCACGCTGCGTTCTCGCTTGCTCTCTCTCGCGCGCGTGCATCCCCACTCGGGCAGAATTGCGTGGCGTGTCACGGCAAAGCGCATCCGCTTCGGCGGCATCAAGGGACACGCGCGCGCCGCATTTTCCAGCGCGCGTCATCCGCACCGATCATCGGGAGAGGGAGCCTTCCCACAGGGACGCTTCGATCCATCTCGAGACCCTAAGTCGCAAATCCTGTTTTTATATAGCCCTAAAGAAAAGCGAATCCGAAAATACGTGTGTCAAACTTCTCTTTTGGTACTTTCCGTTTCTCTAAAATCGAATGATTTTTATGTCCGGATCGATCGAACGAGTCACGTACGCTTCGAGCCTTCAAAAACGTCGGAATGCCTTTGCCTCATCGCTATAAAAATGCTATCCCGAGAGTAATCTTAGGAATAGATCTATTTACGATTGGAGAAAATAGCAACTTGATCAAATGAATCATTTTATAGGTTTAGTTTTAACGGAATGTTTGACGCGTTCGCTTTTGTTTCGGCCAATCGGTGATTCATTATATTGATCTATTGCGGGACACACTGTCATCTACAATAATAGACATTAAATTGGGAGCTTTCAATTAAAAGAGGCTTAAGGCACGTACTCAGCTAAACTTATAAATGATGATACTTGATAGAGTCGGAAATTTATTTTACAAAGCTAGTTCCTCAGTTTAGGTTCTCGAGCGATCGTCATTTTCGAATTCCCCGTATTGCTCGGCGATTCTAAGAATTGAGAGACCAGAGATGTGCGTCAAGTGGAAAGTCCCGCCTTCTCCCACAGTTAGAACAAAGCCTTAAGGCCGTCCATCTAATTGTGAGGTCTTCGATCGAATCAGAGATGGAACTTACGACGAAACAGTCGAGACGCTGGTCCACCGAATCGGCCATAGCGCGTATCGTAGCTCGTACGATAAGGCTCGTTTTCCCTCGGGTTTGCCTGCTGCGGCGAGAATCACGGCGGGAGAATCGCTCGCCTCGGCTTTATCGGCGCCAATCACGTCGGGACCACGTTACGAGCGAGAAATAATTCCGGGACAATGTCAAAAGTTAGCCCGAACGCGGCCGCGGAGCGCCGATCACGCGAAGCACTGTGCGACCGCGCAGCGCGATATGCTCGTGCGGCTGATGACGCTTATGAATTAATTAGATAATAACCAGCGACAATTAGAGCCGAGGGCACGGACGCATGAAAACACCATCTGCTTCTCATCTCCGCGGAAAAGTTTCCTAGCAAAGTCGCGCGCGGCGGCCCGAAACGCGCGGCGCGAATAAACAGACGGGTATATCTGTCGCGGTAGAAATCCGCACTTTTAGTTCCGCGTTAACGCTCCATCGGAATCCTCTGGGAAATTTTATTGGCGGGTTATACAATTTTTTATATGCACTACTATAATTTTTATAAGCTTGCGAAGACATGAAATATGTCGTATTGTAGGATTATAAAACTCGAAATTAAAAAAAATCTTAAATTAATATAGTTAAATACGAAAAAACCTTCAGAGAAACTAAACGTCTTTTTTTATAAATCTATAAGTTTAAAAAATATACGATTATCATAGAATTAATTTTTTCAGTCCAACAAGCTGTAAAATTCTCAATAATTTTTTAAATCTTTGTTAAATATACATTCGAAATTAATAAATTAAAAATGTCTCCATTGAATTTATTTAACACGAATTAATTAATTATAAATATTAATTTAATTAAATTTTGTTCTAATTAAAAAAATATTTAAGCTAGTGAATATTTATTGAAAACGGGCATTTAATTGAAGTCTGGAGATTATTCTTTCGAGAAAAATAATCTCGGGATAGATCGCGATAATCATATGTTTGCACGACTCAAGCTCAAATATTTCACAAAAGAGATAGACGATTCTAACAAAACAGTTTCAAAGTTGCTCGTTTACGCGGTGTTTATCGGTCTGGTAATTTACGCGGAACGCTCGTAAGGCCGATAAAAATTGAAGTGGCCATCACGAATGATAAACGAAAGATCGATCACTAGCGAGTGTGAGGTATCGCCTATTCCTCGCATAATGTCGCGAAAGATCGTTTGATCGCAAGCGCATTATTGTCGCTCGCGCGATGTAATTTGCATTTCGGAACCGCCCAAAGGAAGAGTAACGTTCTCGAACGCGTACGATGAGTCACATTTAGTACTGTTTGTGCATGCGCTCTAATTGTTCCATCCTTATTGGATTGTACCGCCGCCTATTGATAGCGAAGTCCGCTCGCTTCCGCGCCACGTTCTCAGACGCAAACAATCGCGAGCGTATTCGACGCGGTCATCGCGGAAAACGAAGCGTGTAAAACAGAAATTTGTCAGAATTAAGAGGAAGCTTTCGTAATTAAGGCTTGGTAGAATGCAAATTAGGAGATCCGTAAAAGATGCAAAGTACTTTTTTACACACGGAGAACGTGATTTTCATTGTGCGCACAAATTATTGTAATTTTATCAGTTTACGTCACTACCTCCCCCCTCCTTACACAATTAGGAACGTATCGCTCGTGAAGTTATTGACGCGATAGAGAATTTAATCGACGAAAAATAATCTGAGACAGAAACGCGATTTAATATCTGCCGGTTGAACAGCCGCGGATTCGAGGCGTGTTCGACATCGATAAAGGACGATAACGGGTTCAATAAACACTCAAGAGATAAGGCTCGCACACAGGAAAGTAGATGATCTTGATCTCTCTTGAGTATGTCATGAGTGCGTTACGGACCATTGCGCGGTAGAAGTCGTTCTCGGTACGCAGAAAATGAAATGGCGGCCTTAGGAATCGCTCTTTTGTACTGGTCGAGTTGAAGCTTTTTAACAAGGAAAGTGATTGTAGAGCAGTAAATACAAATGTATTTAATATAATACTTTAGAAATTGCGACAAAGAAAGAAAAGTCACGTTCGCGGAAATGATGTAGCGTATCGTCATCCGGAATATAATATCGCGTTTTGTCAGTATCGCGATGTCACATTATCAATTTCCTCGTCAACCTCGTCAGCCTACAATCCACTTTCACTCACGCATTTCGCAGTTGCACGCTCGTGCTGCGTATATTTTTTTGCTATTTACCTTGAAAAGATCGATTGAGAAATAAATACTAAAAAGATACGCACGAAGAATACGGCACAAGCGAGAATTGTACGTCGCGCTGAAATATTAGCGACTTAAAAGGACACATAGACTTAATTAGAGAACTTGCGTGAGTTTGGGCGACACAAAACCAAATAATGAAATGCCAAATAAGATTATCGTATTTAATATTGTTTTAAACTCTTAAGAAGAAACAAATTCAACAATTGGAACAGAATTATCATTACTCTAAATTCAAATCGTGAATATTAATTTTTTTACATGTAATTGACTTTCCTCGCCGTTACTACATTCATTGTGTGTACGCGTAATTTGTCTTCCCCGTCCATTAACAGCAGTGCGTAAATCGTCTGGAAATGCATATCTGTTCGGCGAAGTATTAGCGACGTATGAATCACGTAGCGAAATGTCGAGTCGCCGTAAAATAATACGATCACAAGTATATAAGCGAGCGTAATGTCAAATAAACGATCAAGATATTTAATTTTTGATACTTTAATTTCGAAATTTATTTGTTGAAATTTATTTATTTGTTTAGTTGAGATATCCAAGTGGGATCCTTGATGTCCATTATTAAAAAGTCGTAACGCTTGACGGCCTTCTGGAATTTTTTTCCACAAATATCAATAACAAATAAATCGTTTTTCCAGTTTGAACATCTGGGATGCAAAATACATGGAAAGTAGAATCCCGTGCGCGAATCCCGCTTTCCATGGCACAATTATTTGCTGCCGCCGTGGATGCGACGAGTATTGATTACAGCGGAATTTCGTGGAAGAAAGAAGCGGAAAGTTGAAAAATTACGCCCACAACGTAATCATACGCCGTCGGCTTCGCTATCGATTCGATTCGAATTCCTGCTAACGCAGGCGGAGACGCGGGATCGTTCGAGACCACGTGGGATATTTGTTCTTCGCGAAATCCAACGTATCCTTCGACGAAAGAGAAGCGATATCGCGAGATCGAAGGCTTTGCTACGTTAGGAATTTTACATATGTAAAATGCGGAGTCATCGTTTCGTTACTTATCTTTATCAGATGATTTTTAAGTAATCCTGATACGGATGTCGTTTAAAACAATATGTTATTGAATATTGCTACAGTGGTCTCCGTTACATTAATACCATTACATTTGTATCTTCATTATCAGACATAATTGAGTTCGAATTTCGGATTTGTCATCGAGCGACCTCGAATAATGACGGAAATGCGATAATCACAATGATATCAATTTCAATTTCTTTGAAAAACAATAGTCGCGCTATAATTACTCAATATTGTTCGATTGCGCCTGCGATTTATGTATAATATCGTTTAAAAATAATATATTTCGCATATTAATTGGCGTTATTAATATACGATTACATAATATTATTGAAGGATTGCCGATTGTCTTTTGAACGGCATCGAGAGCGGCCTCTCAGGGCCGCTTCGCGCGACCGTTACACTTACCTTATTTTTAGGCGACATCGCGGGGGTGATGGCACGGGTTCTGCCCTCTCGGCTGGAGGCGAATGCACCCTCGCGCGCGGGCGACGGCGTGAATTAGCGACGTGGGGCGAGGCGTGAGCGGGAGCGGCGGGCGCGCGAGGCCACGGCACCTGCGACGATCCGCGACGACACGCGGGAGGAAGAGAAGAGGCAGCTAACTCGGCGTGAAATTGCGAACGCGACACGCGCGAACGAAAATACAAAATGCGCTCGCCTCGCGTTCTGCTCAACCACCGGCCGACTTAATCGGCGCGCGGACACGGGACACGCGATACACGTCCATCCGCGCGATTTCCCCACTCTCTCAGGAACTTCGCATCTCGCCGCGCTCGTCTCGTCCACGTCTCGTTCCCACGTCTCGTCACATTTTGCTCCGGCACGTATATACACCCGGTGCTTTCCGCTCGTCCCTCCGCCCTGCGTTACCGCTGCACCCGCGATCTCTATCTCTCTCGCTCTCTCCCTTTCGATATTTCTCTCTCTCTCTCTCTCTCTCTCTCTCTCTCTCTCTCTCTCTCTCTCTCTCATGTCCTCCCGCGCTCTTTCGCCCTGTCGCCTCTCTAAACGCGATCGTCGGCGCGTTATTCACCGATACGCCTTCATGAACAAAGCGGTTGAGCCATCGTCGTCGACGAGGACAAAGTTCTGTGCGACACTTCTTTCGAGTGCGTGCGATCGTTACGCACGCAATTTGATTTTCCCGAACGACGATCTCTCGCTCGCTCTCCCTCGCGGATGATTACGACATGCGAGATTATCTGGTCGTCACGTGCGAATCGCCACGATCGCGGTAATCGAGCCGAAGGGGTACGCGGGTTCTAGTGACTTCGATTAGTAAAAATATTATAATATATGTATATGTGATAGACATTTTAGAACGTCGAAAAATTTTATTTGCGGATTCTTCGACCGAACGAAACGCTTCTTTGATTGAAGTGAAGATGTCCAGTAGTGAAAAATGAGATGTTCAAATGTAGACAATGGCATCCAATTATATTTTGTTGAATAAAAATCGCTTGGAAATCGGCCAAGAAATCTATCATTGAGGAATAATGTGCGGTAGAGAAAAGAGAAACAAGACGTACCGTATATAACACAATGCTATTTTCCATGTGCATGTCGATTTGGATGTCTTGTCGCAATGCTGTTGAAACGTGCCAAATTTTACCGCAAAACGCGAATTAGCTCGCACTAAGTCACGATAATGATAATAACAATTTCGAGAGAACGGCATAAGTTTCATTCGATAATTAACATGGGTGAAAATAACCGAAAGTATTTCTCATTAAAGTTCTTACATGTGCGTGATCTAATCCACGAGACTTCCGCATATTATTTTAATTATTGAACATTATAGCAATGCTTGTGTGTGCAGTTTTCTAGAGCGATATGCACGATGTTAGTCGTGATAACGTTATCTTAATGCGATATTATCGGGACTTTACGTGTTTGCAAGAATCAGATGATTTCGCCATCGTTGATGAAGCTATGTAAGAAATATGGATTCATGGTTGGAATATTATTCCGCATATTTTTATTTAATTCATTTCTTAATTGTAGATTGTAATCGCTGATGCAAACCGATCATAGTGAAATTGAGTTGCGTTGTTATTGTCGAGAAAATATATTTGATCTTAAAAATTGAATGTTAAAAATTAAATTTTTAACAAAAGAAATAGATCATATTTAAATTCTTAGTCTTGATCTGTAAATTGCAAAAATTTAGAGCAAACTTAATTCCCTAAAAATAAGCAAATTATCAATTAAAGCATTTCACTACACTTAAATTAGCATTATTCCTGAAATAAATCAATAAATCGAATAATAATCGATCAAAATTATATATATTACAATAAGAAATCGAATTAGATTATAATTTTTATTTATCTACTGTGATCATACCTTGGCACAGAATCGTTGCTTCAAAAATTGATCATGATTAGATATTTGTATATCTAATCATATTTAGACAGAAATTTAGAAGATAAAGCCTAAAGATAAAGTATTTAGAAGATAAATTTATCGATAAAGACAAAATTCTTAAAATGTTTTTTCTTACTTTTAATATAATTTTTTATCTATAACTGTATACTATAACTTTTATCTACAATTTTTAACCTATCATATCATATTTTGTAATCATTGATTATCAATATAATATAGATTGCATTAGGAAAAAAATATAATCTTGAATAAAATAATATCATAAAATCACATAAAATACATTTATATATTCCTATTAATAATCCAAAGAAGAAAGCTTCTTAATGAAAGAGAAAACTAAAAGCAATTCGGATGTGTCCATCTTTTCCAGAGAATCGTAACATGATTTTAGAAGCAAGAGAGAAAACGGGGGTTGAAACACTTACGATATTGTTCGCCACGATCGTCGGTTTCGGGTGTATTTGCAGGCCGTCATCGTCGCCGATCTGCTCGCCGATCTGCTCGCGGCTGGTGGCGGGGCCCATTTCAGCGCCGCGGCGCCTCCCGGAGGACGAGGGACGAGGCCTGACTTCCGCCTCGACGTTCCGACGTCGAAACCGAGGCGTCGGCGGCACTCAACCGATCGACCAATCCCCTCGGACGATCGAAACAAGGATCCGGGTCGGCGCAGCCCTCCCACCGGCGGCTTACGACGCCCCCATCGGCATGAATCTGGAGACCCTATGGAAGCCAGTCTCCTCGACTACGTCTACGTCCATTTGTCTCGCGAGAGCGATCGAGAGAATCGATCGTACGAAGATGATCGATTGTGTAAATTCCTCTTCGTAACGCACCCTTCGAGAGAGAGAGAGAGAGAGGAGGGAGAGAGAGCACTTCCGCGTGGAACGACCGTTGTCCGCCGGCGAACTTTGACGTTTGGATGCTCTTAGCGCTTATAAATCCGACCGCGATATGTCTTGAGCAGTCCCATTCCTTCGTTTCCTGTTATCATCGCTATAATTCGGAGCGCTTCCAGATACCGACGACCTCCTTGTCAGTATTCCCACAGCGACGCTTGAGGAAGCTACTTGAGGTGACATCGAGGAGCCAAGTCGGCCTTGTCGATATCTCGACTGGCCTGCGCCGGCTGCGACGACAGTGTGAAACATATGACCACTAATCGTCTTCTGTCTATAATCTCCGCGCGCTTACCCGATCTTCTCCGGCAATGAAGAGATTTGTCGTTATCGTCGCACAGAGATCCCTCATTCAAATTCTTGACGGATTCGTGGAAAGTTACGTGGAAAAACTTCTGCAACGTTGCGGCACCACCGGCGTGGACATTCCAACGAAAAAAAAAAAAAAAACCTAGACTGATGGCTCTTGAGGTCACTGGTTCACCGGTGTGTCTGCCTCCGCGGTGATTCCACGACGATCGATCGCAAGAACCAAGAACGAACGCTACCAAGAAGCGTACCGTTGGTACCGACGTCTCGACGGCGATGAGGATGACGATCACGACGTGCCCCGCACACACCCACCGGCCGGCTCCGACACCGAGAGGAAAGGAGACCTGACGGAGGCGCGATCGCGCGCGAGATGGGAAAGGTCGTGGTGTCGCGGGGGAGAAAAACTCGGGTCCGCCGATTTCGGCCACGCGGAGATAAAAAAAAGAAGGCCGGAGAGAGACGAAGGTCCTCCTCGCCGGGGAGAAGAGTTCCCTCTCGCCAGCAGGCTCTACCCCGCCGCGGGTGGCGGCCGCGGCGCCCCAGGATCAATAAAACGACCGCCCGGCCGTCGCCTGTCCTAGGTCCTGCCTGGCCTCTGCCTGCCG